CTATGAAAGCTAAGTAAACAACACAGGGTTTGTTATTCCATTAGCGCTCAGTTGCAAGTGGCTATACCTAATGAGTGGATATAGCCAAAGACCATCCAAGTTAGAAGACTTTTGTTACATCTTTTGAAGCCGTATCCAGCGTTGATATCACAGCCACTTCAGGAAAGACAGTAGATTGTATAGTTATCTGACAGGCAGGGTATAACCCTAAAACTATACAACCTACTACCTCACCCCAAAGGACAGTCAGACTCTGATCAGATGGTCAACAGTATTCTCAGCTGGATTGCTGGATTGCAAGCTGATAACCTAGAAGACAAAAAGGGTCTATAGAAGATTAGCAATTTAAAATTTGAAATAGTATTTGCTATCTAACAGGCAACACTTTGCTTAACTAATTCCAGTGTGAGGTTTAAAACACTCTTAATCACACTACAACCTTTGAAGACACGTCTGTGACAAAATGCAGGAGAAGGAGAATATAACATTCATTTTTAGTGAATACTAGCATTTCCAGCTCTGACATGTTTGCATCTAGCCAACTGATTCTGCTGCTATCAAAAAGGCATCATTAAAATTTGGAAAGCTGATGTGGGCTTGGCAAGTTTGTTTCAAACTGCACCTTGATAATCTTTCCCCAGGCAACAGCTGAGTTTCTGTAATTTACTTTCACAAGTGCTGCATGGATAAGTGTGAATCAAGAATTTGTCAAAGCTGTAGGGAAATTTTATGGCTCGCTAAAATAAATATGCTGTCCCCCAAAGGATAGTAACACAGCTCTAAATCAATGGCCAAACTAAACATGCCCCACTGTACTACATACACTTTGGTGAACAGGACTAGGTTAACTGTGACTGTAGTATAATTTATTCCCAATCTCACACCTATCGTAGAATTTGAGGTAGCTGTTAGCTCCGTCCACCACCTGGCCTGACAAAACACAACACCCCTCATTCAGTAAAGCTTAGAGTGCTAGGAATTACTGTGATATCAGTCAGCATTCTAGTATACTCATTGCCTCAATAAAACAGTAAACTTTTAAAAACTATTCTAATGTAATCATCTTTAGTAACTTTCATGGTCATCTTTATTAGAAAATAAACTAAAGAAAGCAATGGACAATCACATAAACAATTACACACAGAGAAATCCAAAGTTGCATTTCAGGATAATGCCTGATCTCACCCTATAGGTAATAGTCTGTATTAGGTTTTGTTGCAGGTAACCAAAAGGGGTCTTCAACTTCCAACACAATCAAAATTGAGACCTGAAAAAAACAATGGAACAGGAGAAACCACATATCAATTTTACTCCACTGCAGGTAGAGACAAGAAAGAGCACACAGCAAGAGAGTTCTCTAACAATAAATCCACACCTCACGGAGAATCATGCACAGCAATTGTGCTCTGACCCAATATCATGGCCATGATACCTCAGCCTCTGTGGCAGCCCCACTTTAAAAGAGAAAGACAAAGAGGCAGAGTACAATGCCAAAAAGGTATATTTTTTTCTAGATCCACTTGAATAATTAATAGGTGATCTGTAACACAGTACTGCAGGGATGGCACAGGCATCAACTTCTTCACCCTTCAACGAACTAACGTACTTTTTAAAGAACACCAGAAAGGAGACAGAATGCAGATTTATAACCAAATTACAAAATAATGTCTTAATCTATAAAATCCACTGTTATTTTATCAGCTTCAAGGAACATTTCACTGTAGGAGACTGCGACCAGATATTACAAAGATGTTACTGTGTTGCATACTGCACATATTTATTACACAAAGCTTTTAATGGTGTCATTCTCCATAATTCTAAAATAACCAAACAAGGGAAAATAGGATGATGACAGATGTCACATATTTGTAGCAAATACCCAAATATATAAAGAGCTAATGTTGTAATGTTACTGAATTTCCTTTTACTAGTCTTTAGGATATTAAAGTATGCCAGGTACGCCATAAATGAAAACAGCATAAATATGTCAATGTCTAATTAGCATAAATTGTGTAAGCTGGTGGCAGAAGATGCATGGAAATCAACAGCAAATAAAAGCGTTTGGAAAACACTGAGATAGAAAGCATTACCACTTAGCAGTCGCTATGCCTTTGGGTTTTAAATACCTAAATTCCCTAAAATGGCAGGTGTAAATTTTGGCAAGGCCAATTAATCACTTCAGTCTTTCAAAGAAAAATTGTCCTCCCTGAGGCTTACTGTGCATGTGTCTATCAGCTGAAGACACAGACCTTGTTTTGTTTGTGTGGCCATCAGTGTTCCCTTAGTGCTTTTCCTAAGAGTACAGGATTTGTACTGGTCACAATACTACCTCCCACAGCTGTACAGTGGTTATCTAGTCAACTATTATCCTTTCACTCACCAGTGACTGCACTTCAGTTATGCCTGTGTGGGTGTGGGTGCATGTACACACACACACACATGCACACTCACTGTGTGAAATGCTTTCAATTTTAAACACAAACTGTACCTTTACCTAAAAATAAAATGCTATTACATAATGCAATTGGGGGAAAGTTACACACTGTATGATTTCCTTTAGAGAAAGAGTATTGTTTGGTATTTGTCTTATATGGTGAAGAATACAAGCAATATAACCTTTTCAAGGTGGCAGCCTTTTCATGTGTCTCAAGATCTAGTGAAAGCAGTGTAGTGGACCAGACAACCTAGCATTCAAAAGGATATAATCATTTCAGAGTGGTGGAGAACCAGGTTTAAACTCCAGAGTCAAACACCTCCAAGCTCTACAAATATCATGGGTCCTTCCAACCTTTGAGGTTGCTTCTGTTGATTATAGCAGTTTCAACTGAAAACTCAGATGTGAACTCAGGTAAGTCTAGGGGGAGTTTGGATTCAGGATATTTTGCAGGCCCTGCCTCTCTCTAAGTTAAGACTGTGTATGTTCATTATTTCTTCATTACTAACTTTGTATACAGAACTGCTTTGAAATGAGGAAACCTTACCACATTGTTCACTTTTGCATAAAAGTTTCAAAACTGCTAATTTTTTGACTGACCCTAGCCATGTACATAACGTCCAGTTATTACAACTTATGACCGTAATGCCACAGGCTGGGTCCTATATGAAGTGTTTAGGTATACACTGATGACCTAATACTACATATTCTGATGCAAATTTATGATTGGGCATGTCTACATGTGCTTTACTGCACAGTAATTTGCTATGCAGTAAAGCATCACCTTCTACATGTGTGCGGCAATTAAGCTGGTGTAGATTAATTTACTGCACTGTCAGATAGTCCCATCAGACACAAGTACTATCTGACAGTGGAGTAAATTACTGCACTTAAACACGTGTAGATGATGACATCTGGATCAGTTTACTCTGGCTCAAATTGCACCAGAGTTTATTCAGTTGCGTCAATTGCATGCGTAGACACGCCCACTAGTGAAATTCCTTTGTGAATTAATCTCCCTACCTGTAAAATGTAGAAAAACATTTCTTAACTACCTTGCAGGCATGTTGTGATGATTATCTGTGAAGTGTTTTAAAATGTAAAGTACTATTTGCTATGAGATCCAAGTATTATTACATTATGGTTATTAACAGTTTCAAGTATTCATTGCCAAAACAATATCACTTTAAAATGTGCCTTTTATTAAATCCTATATTCAGAATTTGAAATTCATTATTTTTTTCTGATCTTACAAGATGTTTGTAAATTTTTGTTTAATAGACTAAACTGCCAAAAAAGGACTGTCTCTCAAATACCTAATGCAGCAAAAATGCATGTTCATTTTCTATGTTTCAAGAAAACATGGATATTAAATAACTACTTGGCAAGAGTTACATTTCCAGTTTAACAACTGTTTAATACTAGGAAAAATATGACATTTCCATGTTCCAACTGTTTTGCTGATCAGTGAAAAATGTCTTTACTCTGCAGAGGATTGGAACCAATGTTAATGAATACCTCAACAGTCACTTTTCAAAAGGCACTGAGCCAACTTAGTTATTTTTGTGATGTAATAGGAAAGGTGACAGTGTTAAAGCAGGTTTATTACATACTTCATACCCTTAATAATTAACAGACTCTGGGATAAAATAGTAATGGCAATATCAGTTCTAGAACGCCAAATATCTAAAGGGCTCAAAATCATTTACAAATGTATGGCTTTAAGAAGGCTCTCTCTAGGATGGTAAACACCACAGGTACCTCTTTTAGGAAGCTTAGAACATATAAATATTGTAAACAGAAGGCTGAAGAGGCACATAAACATATAAAGAGATATCTAGCTTACTGCTTTGAATATTTATCCTGGCAATAATGACTTTAGCAGACTCTGTGAAATGGCTTGGCAGTCATACTCCATTTTCTAAGAAATATATATTTACTATCTTAGGGTGCCTGTAGACATGCGGGGAAGCTGCTCTGATGCACTGTAATTACAGTACATTGGAGCAGACTTGATTAATCGAGTCTGCTCGAGCATGCTAATTAACATGCCGCAGCCAGCCTCCATGTCTCATGTATCACTGTCCCCATGGTTAAAAATGACAGCGAGCTCATTCAATGAGCTTTAGTTAAAATGCCCGTGCCTCCATTCTGAAGCGCAGGAACACTGATACATGAGATGCTGCAGGAGCTTTAATTATAGTGGCTCTCAGAGCTGCTCTCATTAAAGCACCCCCCCCAACCCCTTGAGCATGTGTAAAAATGCCCACAGATGGCACCAGGGGTAGATCCAGTTGCACCCACCCTTGATTCCTGCTCTACCCAAACTTTAAACCAACTGCTTGGGAAGGGCAGCAGCATTTCTATTCAGGCAGTGCTGAGACAGCCAATTACCTCCATGGCTCATTATCCTCTCCCTGATTCCTGTTAATCTCTCTCCATTCTACTGTGTTAACAATATTTTCATGGTCTTAATGTTCCGCTGTTCATACTATGCTTTCTCCCACACTTTTTGCTGTCTGTTAGCCATTCCTAATAATGTCTCTTCTATTTCACAGCCCTGCTGACTGCTTTTGCCAAAAACCTTAACTCAGGTGTGGACAAATTGGAGGCAGTCCAGCAGAGAGCAGCAAAAATGGTTGGGAGCTGGGGCACATGACTTACGAGGAGAGGCTGAGGGAGCCGAGCTTATTTTGTCTGCAGAGGAAAAGACTGAGGTGGAATTTAATAGCAGCCTTCGACTACCTGAAGGGTGGTTCCAAAGAGGATGAAGCTAGATTTTTCTCAGTGGTGGCTGATGACAGAAGAAGAAGCAATGGTCTTAAATTCCAGAAGGGAAGTTTAGGTTAGTTATTAGGAAAAATTCTCTCACAAGGAGGGTAGTAAAACACTAGAACAGGGTACCCATAGAGGTTATAGAATCTCTGTCCTTGAAGGTTTTTAAGACCCAGATAGATAAAGCCTTGGCTGAGATGAGATAGCTGGGGATGGTCCTACTCTGAGCAGGAGGTTGGACTAGATGACATCCTGAGGTCCCTTCCAACCTTAACCTTTTAATATATTAGCTTGGGTTTAGAAATGACTGACAGTCATTGGAGGCACTGTCAAGACTCTCAAGAAGGTGAGATTTTGTTTTATGAATCTGAATAGGAGACATTTAAGTATAATAAGCACAGGACTAATGACACAATATCTTTTGACTGTTTCAAATATTTTTTGCCAAGTTTGTTGTTATTTTTTAAAAACTATGTATACATTAGAAAATGAGTGCATGTTCAAAGAGTTGTATTTGTTTTTGCTTTGATCTTAGACTGAAAAATGCAGTGCTAGATGCTTAATGCATTTGTAAAGCTTCTAGTTCCTATTTAACTGCAGAATAATATGCCTTGTGTTATATGTGATGATGTGCCAGACCAGCTGCACCCCTTTTTCAGAATCCTAGATTCACCCATGGATGGCACCAACTAGTACCCTTTGTTGAGAATTATAGTTGAGAGATAAAAGGACTGAGGATCAGATTGAAAGCTGGTTGCAGTCAATGGGAGAAACAGAACTGGATCAGGTCAGCATGAGAGTCTAACCTACCACTTCACCCTACATGACTGCTTTCAAGGCAGGGATAGAGCCAAACAGCACAACAAGGTCTTTCCCAAAACTTCCATGTGTGAATGGTTCAATGGAGAGAGGGCTTCAGTTTCCCAGGCCGAATCTCTGGCAAATGTCACCCACACCAAATTTGCTCATTTCCCTCAAAATATTTTTCAAACAAGTCTAATAAAAATAACACATTGCACTTGTATCATTCCTATCCTCTGAGGAGCAAAAAGCAATTTACGCTTTGCAACACACCTGTGAAGCAGATGAAGGATGCATAGCAATTACTCATTCACTGCTGCAATACAGTTACTTCTGGAATGGCAAATTGCAGTTGTTGCACAATATATCAAGCACCACATAACAATTTAAGGCTGGCAGTGGAAAAATATTAGTCATTTGAAACTGCAGGGAGGATTAAAGTAGGCACAATTTCTTTACCTTAGTAAGTGTATGACCAGGGCACCAAGTTTAACATCTGTCCTCTTTTGGAAGTGCTATAGGATTTTCCATGACTACATCTGGTTTGGGTGTTAGTTTGTATCTCACCTGAAAATATACATGAAATAATTTGGAGCTAGAAATCACAATGACACAAATCTGCCAGCTAAGAGTCCTATTTACTGTTCTTTCTCAGAATAATTCCCTCAGAAGTCAGTGGAATTTTTTTTGAAGAAGAAAAATATGCCAGCACTTAGATTCAAAGACCACTGAAGTCACCAGGACATTTTCAATTTACATCAGTGGCTTCAGATATGGGGCTCAGGACTCAATAAAATAAAAAAAACTTTAGTTTTGGATTTTAAAGTGCTATGCTGTATTTAGGGGTTTGAAGGACATGATCCAAACACACTCAAATTAATGAAAGAAAATTCATTGGCCACAGTGCATTTTGGATTATGTCATAAATCAACACCTTTACCAGAAGAGTGTTTTGCGGTGGCCCACCTGCCCATATGGGGTAGGAAGTCCATTAATACTTAGTTGATTATTTTAGGGGGTTTTTTGAATAAGTTTGGAGAGCCCAAATTACTCTGGTTCTAACAGAACTGGAATGATGCCAGAGGTGAATTTGGCTCAAACAGCATGTGTACATGTATACCCTTTCTGAAAGGTGAATGAGTCATTACATGTTTCTCCCATATCAACTATACCAGGTTTATTTACTTTTACAGTGATATTGGATACTATGTGTGCTGTAGCACAGTACTGTTTAATGGGTTTTATGTATACACACTTTAAGATGCTGAAACCATTCCAGATACCAAAGCAGTGGAAAATACTTGGAAAAGGACAGCAGTTACAAAATGGCCTGGAAAATACATATACAAGTTAAACTCAGTGCTGTGGCTGCCTAAGTAATTATGAAAGCTGTAATCATATAAACATATATTAGAGCAGAGACATTCTTGATCTTGAAAGACTACATGTCACACTAGCATCCACCACAGGTTCCTAAGTCCCACAAGGAGTCATACAGGAAGTCAGTGCACATCTTGGTAGGAGCAGGCCCCAAGCTGTAATTCTCTCAGAAATGAACCATAATGGATATGTCTGTGTGTGCAATTAATGTGAAGTGTGCTGTTTGAATGTGCTGTTTGAATGTACACCCAGGCCTGGGCATACCATCTGAACATGCACCCAGCATGTTGAACTGGGTCAGAGCAGCCCCACCGGGCAGGGGGTCCAGGGGGTCAGCCTGCCACCCCAGGGCTGCTCCCCCCACAGCTCAACTTACTGTGGATGGGCTGGCAAGGGCACGAGGGGTTTTCAGTGCGGGGCTAGCTGGCAGGCAGCCCTTACACTGAACTACACTTGTGCTCCAGCCAGCCCTGTCAGAGTCTACACATGTGCTGCTGAAGAGTAAAAAACTCTGCAGCAGGACAGTATTTATATTTACTTGTATTTAATTAGTGTACTCCAGCCTAATTACCCTGCACATGTAGATGCTGACAAGTTTACTGAGGAGCGAATTAGTCAACTCCACAGTACATGTCTTGTGTAGATGTGCCCAATGCTACCTAAAAATGGGACTTTGTTAACAAGTTTCTTTAAAAAACCCCAACATTTTAGGGTAGTTCAACATTTTAAATGCAATGGGCCACATCTTAAGGTGGTCTACATTAACACAGTTTCTGTGCCCTCAACAAGCAATTCTACCCCTTTTTTAAATGTGCAAGGGCTTTTTAATTAAATGTTATTCATTAGGTTGCTGTACAATGGCTATTATTAGATAAGTGCTTAAAATACTGAATCAAGTACAATCATATTTTAAAATAACACTATTTTTCTCTCATATTATGGCAGATCCTTAGTTAGTATAAACTGAAGTAGTTCCACTAATTTTAATGTTATGTCTTTATTGTATTTCTTTTAATTTATGTTATACTTACCTAACATTCCAGGTGCCATAAACCAACAACAGCTAACACTATTTAATTTAATAAGTAAAATTCTCATAGATAGAACTGCCCAGAGCTACAAAATAATAAGGGCTGAATTATGGTTCCTATGCATGTAACAGTTCTATTATTCAGTAAATAGCAATATAAGATTTTAAAAATATATACTTTATAAATAAAAGTTGAACTGTTTATCTTTATTATGAGCTATTTGCTTTACAAGATTTAAATATTTATCTTCAATGTTTTTTCTAGCATAATCTTTAGGTCTACTTGCTAATCAGTTGATTTGTTGTATTAGTCCTGATGGGCTTTCTGCCCAAATCTAACATGGCTGCCAAGCGTGACATGCATGGCTGATAGCAGCAGCAGGAGCACAGCGAGCTCACACTCTGCTGCATGTCTGAGAACACAGTGGTAGAAAATGATGACTACCAGATGGCAGCGCTCAGAAATCGGGACAGGGCCAAAATTTGAAAGAGAGGAAAAATCTGTGGGGAAATGACAAACGTATGAAAAAGAAACAAGAAGATTTTTATTTAAAAACATAATATTCTAAAGGCATACTTCATATGTGGCAAGCAAAGGAGAGAAGACTGGATGCTCCAGGAGGCAAGTGTGGCAGTAGGAGGAAATGAAGGTTGGTTGAACTGTGCCAATTAGAAATGCATTTCGCTCCTTGCTGCTAAAAAGGTGAAGAAAATGAATCAATTGTGTTTTCTTTTGTCAGAAGTAGTTACCTTCTCATTATTATAATGAATAATAGGGAGATGTCTGATCTTTCTACATCTTTCTTCTAACAACTGCTTCCCAAACATTGCTAATTTATCTCAGTGCCCCAGTGAATGAAGATCAATAAGACTCATGAGCCCTCCCCCTCTGCCCCTTCTGTAGTTGAGGTCACAGAGGGACAGAAACCGTAAAACATTATTTTCCAAAAATGTCTAGTAATTTTGGGTGCCCAAGCAAAAACCCTTAAGACCTGATTTTCAGGGGAGCAGAGTACTCACAACTCCAGGTATAGTCATTAGGAGATGTAGGTGCTCAGCATCTCTGAAAATCAAGCTTTTAGCAACAAGTCTGGCACTGCACCTGGACATTGAGGCAGCCAAAGAAACATGTACACTTCAAAGATATCCTCTAAGTGCCCATGGATACATAGCAAGGAAGTTTCAGACCTGGGAAGAGAATTCAGGAGGCACTAGTCATTAAACAAAACTCTTTTTCTCTTCAATAACAGTATCCCACCCTCCCTTACCTTTTCTGCTCTGGAACATCTTAAAAACAATGGAAAGCTGGGCACATCTAAACATGCCTCTTTTAAGTTGGCTTAGCCTAAAATTGCCATTTTTAAGGCACATTAAGGATGTGTGTCTACACGCGCGCACCCTTAATGTGCCTTAAAAATGGCAATTTAAGGCTACGTGAGCCTCAGTTTGATACCCGCATAAAGTAGGTATCCAGTTTATGTGTGACTAGCTAAGTTGTATTACCACATGTATAGATGCACTAATGCACATCAACATGGTGTATGTCAATGGACACACACCACGTTAGTGCGCATTAACGCATCTGCATGTGCGCTAATGCAACTTAGTTATTCATGTCTAAATTTAATGCGCCTTAATGCACATTAGTGCATCCACATGTAGATGTGCACCTAAATTGCCATAATGTGCCTTAAGCAAAGGCACATTAAGTTTAGGCATGCGTAAATGCACATGTAGACATGCCCACTGAGCAGCAATGAGTAGCACCAAACTTTGTGCCAACTTAACTGGACAGCTCTTAGGTCTGGAATGAGATGTCAGCCATAGCAAACCCACCAAAATTTTTATTTTCTCCATTTCCCCCTGCAACAAAATAAACAACATAACTAAGGACATGTCCTCTGCTGGAGTTAACTGTCATAGCTTCATTGACATAATAGAGGTATAATAATTTACACCAGTTTGAGATATGCCTCCTTACACTATACCCAAGTAGTACATTTCTGAATCAGAACCTTCCTATATAATAATTCCACATCTATCTAGAGAAATGTTTAAGTATCACTGGACTGCATGGAGAATGTTAGGTAATTTATGTAAGCAGTAGCCAAAGATCATCAAACTGGTTCTTTTGCCATATGTAGCTCTTCAGGACCCCATATGCAGCCTACATGGAGTCTCTAAGTTTGACCCAAGTAAAAGCATAGTAGAGCAGCTCAACTTCTAAGGAATCTGCGTCAGGCACACCAGATCCAGCTGTTGCCATGCTGACTGCTGTGGTGTGGTCAGCTGCCGCTGTGGTGGTGTCTGGCAGTGCCAGGGGCTGCTGCTTGGTCACCCTCCCTCAGTTATGCTATTGGATCAGAGAGGAATTTCTTCTTCCTACTTTGCCAGCAGCTAAGACAGTCTAGGGCAGTGGTTTTCAAACTTTTTTCATTTGCAGACCCCTAAAAGAAATGTTAAATGGAGGCATGGACCTCTCTGGAAATTTTGAATGGAGGTACAGAATTGTAAATGTGGATGTTCACATACTTTTGACTGATCATAGTCATCTTTCGTGGACCCCTTAGACATAGTCAGCAGATCCCACAGGGGTCCATGGACCACAGGTTGAAAAACAGTTGTCTAGGGAAATAATGTGATAAACTGGTCTTATGATGTCTTGGTAAAGTGTTGTAATGTATGCTTTGCAGCATTATGTCAGGGGACTTTACCCGTTCTGTAAAATCAACTGCTGCTATAAATCCAAGCCCTGATCTTAAACCATGTGTAGTACCTAAGCCACATCTCTCTCTGTGAACCATAAATTCTCACGATGAAGTGAATGTAGGCACTAAGGGTGTTTATAGACAGACAGGCTCCAGGAGGTGGTGGTGGTGGAGGTGCTTTAATTTAAGCAGCTCTGAGAACCGCTTTAATTAAAGTGCCCAGAGTGTCATGTGTATCAGCATCCCTGCTCTGAAAAATGGAGGCAGGGGAATTTTAACTAAAGTTTGTTGAATGGGCTTTAGTTAAAGCACCCCTACCACCATTATTCAGTGCAGGGATACTGATACACATGATGCTGTAGTCTGCTGTAGTCTGGTAATTACCATGCTCCAGCAGACTCGACTAATTGAGCCTGCTCCAACGTGCTGTAATTACAGCATGTCAAAGCAGCTTCTCTGCACGTGTACAGGCGTCCTAATGCATTTACTTATTTAATATAGAATAAACTAGTATGTGCAAACTCCAGTGTAATTAAGAATGAAAGGATCATGCAAGACAAGAAACCATTCCAAGCCCCCAAAAGCAACTAAAAGGTGTTTTCTACCAATGCAGTTACATAAAAAATTCCAGTTGGTGGAAGAAACATTTCCTGCCCTTTGTCCTGTAACATTCTTTGCTTTAAGTGGGCAAAATACGGCCCATGAGCTGGATCCAGCTTTCCAGGCTATTCTAATAGGCCCGTGGGGCTCCTAACAATGTAGAAAATTTATCTGCTCCTGGCTGCCTGTCAAAGATGACAGGACCCAAGGGCACTAGGACCCAGGAGGCACTGGTAGGAGGACCCAGGGGCCTAGCCCTGTCCCATCCCACCCCCATCCATTTCCCTGCCTTTCTACTCCTGCACTGCTCCAGCACCAGGTGGCTCCAGGCCTCATTGCTGAACCAGAGAGCATGGGCCACACTGGTACGTGTGTGTGTGTGGGGGGGGGGAGGGGCTGTATGTGTGTGTGTGTTTGTAGGGTGAGTCCCACATGTACACCCTACCATACACATGCACCCACACCCCCCTTGCACTTTCATACACACAGACCCCCACACCCCCTCACATAGACCAGCCACCCTCCCCTGCACATACATCCCCCCACAAACCCCATAGCCACCCACACTCCACATATTCACACAGACACCCACATATTCCCTCATCACATGCCCACACTCCCCACAGACACACTCACACCCACACCCTCTTCCACACCCCACATACCCACACACCCACAGGCTGCCACAAACATATACCCCCCCAATATTCAAGAGTAAGACTTCATGTTAAGGTATTATATGCAATCACCTCTATGTATACTACACAAACACATGTAAACCAGGACAAAAATATTTTTTGAAATCAAATTAATGAATGTTTTAGATGTTTGCTTTTTAGAATATAATTTGGTATTTTTCTGTTTCAGAGATGGCAAAACCCCTTGCTGAAAGGAGTACTTCTTGGGGCAAGGGGAGGAACTTCTGTTGGCAAAGGTTGGGGCTTACGGGACGGAATTTCCAATCCTAAAATGGTGACCAGGGGGTGGGGCACCTATCAAGGGGTGGGGCTACCCATGCAGCCCTCTGCCTGAAATAATTGCCTGCCCCTGCTTTAAATCTTGTGTGTTCAGTGGGACCAAGGAAATGACAACTAGGGTGAGAAAATGAGTAGCACAGGGGACACAGGTTTAGACTAATGCCTAAATACCAATGAACCCTGTAGGTGTCTTCACTCAAAACACCACTACCTAAAGTGTAGGCACCTTGCCTCAGGAAAGCAATCCAATTTGACAGGCAGGTGCCTGGGGATAGAGGTGGAATGGCGATAAGCACAGAAGGAAAATGTAAGCAGATTAGAACAGAACCCTTCCCAATAGTTACTTATATTTTTCCTGAATATAGGCTGCCATGGGTGAGTGGGTATCCTAGAAAGAACTCAAAGGGCATGTCTACACATGCATTTATCCCAGCTTAAATTTACTGTGCAGTAAGTTACTTTGTAATAAGTGGGAAGAGGCAGGTTTCCACAGGTGACTGGCAGGGTGGCATGGGGGGGCATAAGCCCCCCTGAGATTGGCCCCCAACTCAGCACCACTCAGGACATAGCAGTTTTTTTGCCGTGCGGGCCGGTGGCATGTGGGGGGAAGGGGGCCACTAAGCCACAGCACAGAAGTATAGGAGTGGATATGAGGCTTTTGGCTTTCCTCCCGGTCCAACCACAAATTGTGCCACACCAGACTCAGGAGGTACCAATCACCCCTGCCTGCATCTACACGTGCAGGCGATGGATTAGATTTACTTCCAGGTCAGAGCAGCTTGCCATGTGCCCCTGTGGCCACTGAGGGTGGCTCCAGCCTCCGGCCACATGGCTGCCAGCCCTTGAGACTAACTTTAGTCTCAAGTTGAAACCAGAGCCAGCTGCCAGCACTTGGGACCAACTTTAGCCCCAAGTTGAAGCCACGAGAGGCAGCCACCCAGAAGTCCTGGGGCTGGGCTCAGGCTGGCCCTCTAGTGGCTGGGCAGACCCAGCAGAGAGGCCCCCTGCGTTACTGTGCAGTAACCCATCTACACGTGTTACTGCACAGTAACTAATCCAGCATAGATTTTATACCTCAATGCAGGTATCAAATTTATGTTCAAGTCAGCATAAGTTGTCATATTTACTGCATAGTATGGGCATACATATGTAGACACGTACCCGTACTGCACAGTAATTTCAGTTACTATGCAGTAAATGTGCACATGTAGATGCTCCCAGAAAGGTTTACCTGGATAGCAGCAGTACAACTGGGGGTGGAGGTGGGGTGGGGTGGAAGAGGTATCGAGGGATGGAGAGGTATTGAGGGAGGAGCAGCAGCCCTGGGTAATGCTTTTGCAGGTGGAGGAACAAAAATAGTCACTGCTGTAGCAGCAGCTGATGGTGCCACCATCATTGGTACTATGGCAGCCAGTCTTTACTGGGTGTCATAGCTGTCTCTGCTATGAAGCTGTCCTACTATGCTTCCATTGAACAGGATGGGGGAGGAAGGCACAGCTGGTCCACTGTATATAGACAATAACTGGAGTGCTCTAGTGAAAGAAGTACATGTGGCAAGTTTATTCCAGAAGCACTAGGTTTGACCCAGCCTTCTGAAGGTATAATGTCCACAGGCACATGTTGTGTGGTGTACCTTCTCCCTCCCTTCCCTCTGCCCACTGAGACTTTGATATTAGTTCTAGATGTTCCTTGCAAATAGCCCTAGTATATCACCAGTTAATTTACCAGAAATTGTACTGTTAAATAGGATCCCTTTCTTCTTTTTACACAATTATTTATTGTTCTTCTATGGCTATCAGATTACTGTATACAGTAACAGCTTTGTAATTGTATTACTGTTCATAGATAATGGCTCACACTGTGTTATGATTTAAAAAAAAAGATGCATTTGTGCTTCCACCAGGATTATTTTATCCCTTTTCTAATCCATTATTTTAAATCTGGTTGTCACGCCAGACGACAAAGCCAACATATTTAATAACTTCTTTGCCTCTGTCTTCCTCAGTAAGGACCAGAACTGCCCTCTCCCTGCTGGGCCCCCTTTGGGCCCTGGGGGGGGCTCACCTGGGCCTAGAGTGAG